CGCGCTGCTCAACCCCCCCCCGGGCCCCCGCCGCCCCCCTGCTTTTGGGAAGGGAGCCGTGAGTCCAGGAGGACCCCCAAATTACGCACTGGGTCTGTCTGGGGCAGTGCTACCCCATCCAGCGCCAAAGATGACAATGTCCCGGATACAGAGGAGCCATTGACCCACAGCCACTCCGTCTTGCCAGGGTTCAGCCGAAGCCTGTTATTCCCCATCCAGACCCCCACAGCCTCCAGGCACTGAGAAAGGGTGGCCACGGCATCACTTACTTCACCAGGGATGGAGATATATAGTTAAGTATCATCAGCACACTCATCCCATGATGACGGATGATCTCGCCCAGCGGTTTCATGCAGGTGTTGAAAAGGAGCGGAGAGAGAACCGAGCCCTGCGGCACCCCACAAAGGAGGGGCCGAGGATGGGGCCTCTCGCTCACTATCACCACCGATTCGGACCGGCCCCAGAGAAAGGCGGTGAACCAGCACAAGACCATGCCGCCCACCCCCATATCCCTGAGCCGTCCCAACAGGATCCCGTGGTCGACGGTATCGAACGCCGCTGAGAGATCAAGGAGAGCAGGGATGGTCGCACTTCCACTATCCCGCTCCCGCCAGAGGTCATCCATAAGTGCGACCAATGCCGTTTCCGTTCCATAGCCAGGCCTGAAACCTGACTGGAAGAGATCCAGATAATCCGTTTCCTCCAGGACCCTTTGGAGCTGCGATGCCACCACATTCTCAACCACCTTCCCCAAAAAGGGGAGGTGGGAGACTGGATGAAAGTTGTCCAGAACAGTAGGATCCAGGGAGGGCTTCTTGAGGAGGGGCTGCACCAACACCTCTTTAAAGGCCGCTGGAAACACTCCCTCCTGCAAGGATGCCTTAACCATCGCCTGGATCCAGCCACATGTCACCCCCGGGCTGCTTACACCAGCCGGGAGGGGCATGGGTCCAGATGACAAGTGGTGGCCCTCACATTCCGGAGGATCCTGTCCACTTCATCAGGAACCACAGGAGCAAACCGTTCCCAGATAACTAGGCAAGAACGGTCCCCTGGTAT